ACCTGTCTTCTAGGACTGTTGTGCTGTTCCTCCTTAGCAATTGGAGAGCATTGCTGGTACAGGCAGAACAGAAGAGGACTGAGAGAGGTTCCTGGGTGAAAGACAGCAGCACCCAAAGGGACCCACTCCAGAGAGGTGGTGACAGATGCAGAACAGGCATCTGCATTTCACGTTGGGCAAAACAAGCATTTCTTGCTGCGTTTGCATCCATGGCCAGAAGGATCTGACTGTGTGAGGGCCTCCCTCTTCCAAGGAAGAGCACTCTCTGGGCCATCTCACTAGTGCCAAACCTTTTGGTCAGAGGCAAGCTCATTAGCTGCTTCGCTACTCCTGTCTGAAAAGTAGTGTCTCTCTGATTCTCCCCACCATATCCACCCAGCAAGGTGGGTAGAAAGGAGGTAGTCTGTGGAGGGTACCTTGAAGATGAGAAGCTTGCCTTCTCCCATGAGATAGGCGCTCTGCTTTTGACCCCAGCATTTCTCTGCGCCAGCTCCCGGGGTGCTAAGTTTCTCCAGAGAGCGAAGGCCTAGATTTTCAGGCAACCTCATGTGGTGTATCAGTGACCTAGGCAATGTTTTCCATGAACAAGCACAATTAACGTACCTCTTTCTCAATCACAGAGGGATCTCACACTATCTCCAGAGGATGCAGTGGTTTATGTCTCTCACTGATAAATCTGAAAGGAAATGCCAACACACACACACAAAAAAATCTGGCTGCTGCTTTCTGCATTTGTCTGGCAACCTCCATATTTTGTTATTTCAGTAAAAAGAAATGCTCTCATGTAGAGGAATCTGCTAATAAAAACAAAGGAGAGAAAAGAAACCACTGGATTTGTCCTGCTTTGCAAAGCAGAGGGACATGAAAATCTTTCACAGAGCTCTACTGTCCTTCACAAATGGTTACACAAGCCCCCTCTCACATTTAGCTTATGCCCTTTTTTTTTCCCTACCCCAGTTGTATCAGCTGTTTTAATATGAGCTATTACTTCTTCCTGCAAACCTCATCTCACGTTGCAGTTAAGGGACGTGCCAATAAAGGCATGGGATATGAGGAAGGATTTTATGCAGCAGGAATGAGACATGCACGTGCGGGGTGGTAATGGACAGCCAGCAGCAAACTCCATCTCACAAGTGAGAGGGAGCTGTGAAGGAAGAGTGAGTGGTCTGGAAAGGGAGATCTTTGTAGGTCTGTGTAGGAAAGCAGAGAGAAGAGAAATGAGGGCATCAGGTAGTTGCTATTGGAAAGAGTCTGCAGCAAATTGTGAAGGACTGGGTGTTTGGTGCTGGAGTGAGTAAGAAGAGGCGGTGAGAGCTGTATGCTGTCCTCTTCAGGGTGTCTCGGGTCTGGAGTCCTGCCAGTGCTTCTGTAACTGGTGCTAGGGAAGCACCAGCAGTCTTTTTCCAAGGGAAGGCGATTAAAATAGCAGTGTATGTCTGGTGAGAAAATTCATTCCAGATACACCCTCTCATTCTGTCTGCTCTTTGTGTTTTTTGTAGTACCGGTATTGTGTTGGAAAATCGAAACTTGTTAGATTGCCTAGCTGCTTGTGTTAGGACCAGTTCCTGCTCCAGCCCCCTTTGCGCTGTGCTGATATGTTGTTGTCTTCTGTGCTCAACAGGTCCCTCTGTCCCAAATTGCTTTCAGTGCTGCACCTCCTCCTCAGATCCTGTACAACCCTGCCCAGCAGATCCTGACGTACGCTGGCTTCTGCCCTTCCGCAGCCATTTCTACATATCCATCCTACCCCTTACCTCTGCAGGTACAGTACAAGATGGCACCCTTCTTTCTCCATCAGAAAAGCAAAAGCTGCTGCTCGGTGCAAACTCTGCAGTGGTAGATCTTGGGTCCTGGGGGTTTGAAACAAGGCAAGGAAGGTGGATCTCAACACACAGACACATCTCTGGGACGACTTATTCTGGGCCTAGCTTTCAGGTGTGTTCTCAGATCTCAGGCTTTCTCTGGTTGTCCTTTGGACTCTTGTCTGCTGACCGGGAATCCCAGTGTGGGATCAGAGCTGCGCTACAGTAGTCATGAAGGTGAACACAGCCCCCACGTTGGGCAAGATAAAGCAGCAGCAGAGGTATGGGGGAAAGCCAAAGGAAGTATCTGATACACACAGGATTTGGCAGAAAAGTTTACACATCTTAGCCCACCTTACTCTTAATGTGGAAATAGATTAGGACTCAACAGATGAAAAGGAGACAGGAAAGGGGAGGAAATAAGAATCATAGAATCATAGAATCGTCTAGGTTGGAAGGGACCTTAAAGATCATCTGGTCCAACCATCAACCTAACTCTGACAAAAAAATAAATAAGAAATAAGCAGTAAAAAAATCACTAAACCATATTCTTGAGGACCATGTCAACCCGTTTTTTGAATACTTCCAGGGATGGTGCCTCCACCACTTCCCTGGGCAAAAGAGGTCTGTGAAACTGAGTAATATGGAAAGGATTGTGGATGACTATTGGTGATAACTTCTAATCACACAAAGTTTTGGTTGCCACTGTGAAGCTATTAGGTAGCAAGATAAGCCAGAAATAGGAAGTTTTTTTACACACCAGAGAAGATTCAAATGCTACAGCACATTGTGGAAGAGTATAAATGAGGGGTTAGGAACACCAGCTGCTCTTAAATACATGGATTCAGGTGTCACTCGCAGCCCGGCAAGTCCCCAGGTGGCTGCCTGCCTGCCTGCCTGCCTGCCTGCCTGCCTGCCTGCCTGCCTGCCTGCCTGCCTGCCTGCCTGCCTGCCTGCCTGCCTGCCTGCCTGCCTGCCTGCCTGCCTGCCTGCCTGCCTGCCTGCCTGCCTGCCTGCCTGCCTGCCTGCCTGCCTGCCTGCCTGCCTGCCTGCCTGCCTGCCTGCCTGCCTGCCTGCCTGCCTGCCAGCCACAAGAATCAGCAGGGGCTTATCAGAAGATGAAGCTCTTTTTCTTTGAGCTTCCTATAAGCATCTGCTACAGGCCACCACTGGGAGACAGGTGCAGAGCTGCTATGGATGTTGGTGGAGGTTGGTGAGCCGTACTGACCAGAGGCAGCTGGCCTGAAGGCAGGAGAGGAAGCTGCTGGAGATGCAGCTTTCTCCCCTTGTGGGAGGGATACAACATGAGCAGAGTCAACACTGCTTTGTCTCCTTCAGAAGGATGAGGTAGGTGCCAGTCGTGCTCCAAGCCTGCACTGCCTCCAGCCCAGAGCTGGCCTGGAAAAGGCAGGGAGTGGTGCTGAGGATGGTGTTTGCTTTTTTTTTTTTTTCCCCAGAATGAGGTGAAGAATGTAGGGTGAGCTGGTAAATAACTGAATGTACTGAGACCCTGGAGCAATCATAGGAGTTTTTAGATTTTTGAAAGCACAGTAACACTATTTTGTTCTGTCCAATGGCTTGTTATACTTTGGCTGTGTAGTGCTAAACCAGTGGGTACCACAAGTTTTGCAATACTTCTTAATTGAAAACACTGCAAGTTTAGCATGAACTAGCTGTGGGCCAGGTCCCCACAGCCTCTTGGACTATATGCCAATAAACTACCAGGCATAAGTACGAGGACATGATGATCCAGACCAGTGAATTGTTAGCATGCTCCTGGTACGGGTTTGGCCCAGACCACCTAAGTGTCTCCCAACAACACCCAGGAAGGGGTCAGGAGACAGCAAGAAAAGTACACCATTCCCAGTATGTAGTGTGCATACAGTCACACTGGTTTGGTGGTGAGAGTTCAGCTGTAGGGATGTGATATATGCTGTGCTAGTTGACTTCACAGCCAGAGAACAGTCTTTGGCACGTCTTACTTATTAACATAAATGGGGCCAGGCGCTTTTGGAGATCATGGGTTGAGAGGAAAAAAAGAGCACACTCGGAGATCTCTTTTTTTGTTTGCTTTCAGCTGAAAAGCTGTGCTGCTCTGCAGAGTTCAGTTAGCACGTAGCCAAGAGTAGAGAAGGGGATAAAAACAGATGAAAGAAAGCAATTAAGCTGAAGAGATGCATCTAAGTAATCATGAGGATCAATTGTAACTATTCAGTCCTATGTCCACTAAGAATCAGGAATACATCATATTGACCCCAAATTCTTAACTGCATTCCAAAATAAACATAGCTTTTCCTAGATTTCTACTTTTTCTAAGTGTGTTAATTTGTCTTCTCTCCCCTTTGTAACATTCAGAGGTAGACATGTCCCCAAGCCACGAGAGGTTAGCAAGAAGCACTGGGCTCCACAAGGGAAAGTACTTAATCCTTTTCCTGGAAAAAAAATATTTTAAAAAAGCAAGCTCCCTTCTTGCATGTATGAGCTCCTTATGTTGTAGTTTGGAGGGTATTAATTTCTGCATTGGTATATGAGTTAAAAAAGTCATAATAAACTCACTCAAAGCTACGAATGGTGAATGTTAGAACCAGGCCTGATAAGGAACAGCCAAAAGCTTAACTGGCATCCACGTCAATAACTTGAGCGCTGCAGGCTGAATCCATGGGGCTGGAGGTAGGTTTTTGTGGCCCATCTGGGTGCTCCAAGTAGTGCCCAGCTGCCTTCACAAGCTCTGCTCAGCTGATCCTGGTCCTTGAGGCTGGGATTCATTTGGCTATCCACAGGGGCTGTTGGCATGGAGCAATCTAGTGCTGCCTGATAATGGGATCAGGTAGCCACTTGGCCCCTGCTGCCACTCCGGGATGGTCCAGGTCCTGTAGTCCCTATGTCACATCTTTGTGGATGTCTTTGATGTCCCATGGCATCCCAAAAGGGCTAGACACTTATATGCAGGCAGCTGAATAGAGTTCTAGCTCTCCACAGTGTAGGACACACCACCTGAGCTGGTCTACTCTTCAGAGTCCACAGAGAGAGCAAGGCATTTCTCACAAGTTGATTATCTCTGGCTAAAGATGTATGATGTGAGTGACATGAATGCACCCTAAAGGCCTTTCCACTGACTAGGGGTGGGATTCAATTGCTACATGTCACTGTGCTCTGTGCTTAGATGTCTATGTTCTTGAGCCTTCAACTGGGACATGAAAAGCTGAGGCTGAAGCCTGTATCCTAGGGATGCAGTTCAGTTGCATCTGAGGTAGCCTAATGTTCACAAGTCATCCATACAAGGCTGGCTGATGTGAGCCAAGGTCTATGTGAGACTCGCACATATTTCTGGAGCAGCTGGTTGAGGGGCCATTGGGCATCTCAAAAGGCATAACTTCTTTGCCTACATGTCCGCCAAGATCCACATAAGGGCCCCAAGACACAACTCTTTTCTCAGCATTCCCTTTGGCTCAACGAAGCTTTGGCTTAACACTGGTCCTAAGCCCCTGCTTTTCACATTGCCCTGTGCTTGCTGCTGGGGCAGGGTCACACACATGCTGGTTCAATACAGTAAAAGGAGCAAAACCTTCATCAACTAAGAGTTAGGAGAGGAAAAAAAAAAAGTGAATCGATGCCAGTTAATGAAGTAAAGTTAGCAATCAATCACCGACTAATAACTCTAGTTTGAACTCTCACCTCAACCAGAGGAAATCCACGCCTTAGTTCCTTCTCCTAGGAACATATCCCACCTTGGGTTAGTGGCATGCAACACACCTAGCCTAAGTGCTGCCCTGGCTTGCATGGACTGAAGCTCCATTAGCTCAAAGACTATGAACCTGAGTTCATCTGTGGTTCCCACCATTGAACAGATTTAATTCCTAGTCCTCTGCTGAATCTGGTATCTCACTGAATTACTGCTTGCTGGAGGGGCAAAGTCTTCAAATCACAACCTTAGATGGTGGTAAATGCTCCTCAGTTCACGTCGTGCTTCCAAGTCCAGAAGCAGAAATCAGCCAAATGCAAAAAAGAAAAGGTGAAACAGGAATGCATTTTGACAAGGATGTAACCTGCATTTCTTTTGTTCACTGTGGCATGTGCTAACAAAATCATTCATCCCTTACTGGTACAGTTCAGTCACAACTAGTGTTGGTAACAGGCCTGCCAACTGGTCAGGTAAATGATTAGCTGTGCAGTGACTGGTGGTGATGACAGCAGTGAGGGTTGTGCCAGTCATTCCTGCCAGAGGAGAACTCATTACAGAAGCAATTCCAGGCAGACAGATGGAAACAGTGGCTGCAGTTTGAGGGGAGAGGGAAGCAACAACTCCAAAATAAATAAAAAAATCCCAAATTACCCTAAACCCCAACAACTACGTTTGGAGCTGATCTAGCTAGCAGGTCTGTCAATATGCCTGGAGAGGTAAAGGGCATAATCAACCTTCCTGCCAGGATATGACCATTCTCACTCACTAAGTCACCCCGTGGTACAAATGCAGGACAACATGCTCCTCACCATGGGGGTTTGACCCACAGCAGCAGCCCCTGCTGGCCTGGAGCTCCATGGAGAAGCCAGGCACCATGGCATGGGGTCTGCCAGCCCTAGGCAGCTCTGAGATGACATTGTCCAAGTGCCAGCCCTGGGCAGCCTTCTAGATGGTAACTACTATTTTTTTAGCAGCAGGGAACAGAAACTTGCCCAGATTTTTCACTTCCCTTGAAAAAGACCCATGATTACCCTTTTTTTGTTGTTTTGTTTTTTCAATTCCAGGCACTTTAGGCCTGAACCTGAGGGAAGCTGAACACAACTCCTCTGCTGAAGCCCATGGACTGGCATGTGCAGGCATATGAAGGGAGGAGTGAAATCCTGACCCTCTTGAAATCAATGACAAAACTTGGTTTAAAGCAGTGGCAGGATTTTATCCAGAATATTAGTCTCTATATGCATTCCTTTGTTTTAACAAACTGTGTTTGTTCCTGAACATGGGCTGCTTCCCAGGCTCTATCAATTTTTCATGCGCCTTTCACCCAAAACCCCATTATAGCTGAGACAGCCAAAGGGAAAGACCTACAGGGAAATACATGCTTACCTGTAAAATTTTCTCTTAAGAGCAGTCTGCATTGGGCACAGGGATAAGACCTTGCATGTGTGCATGTATTGTAACTGAGATTAATTACAACTGAGATAATTTAAATTTCACGGTGATGCCTGGAAATGAGCAGCTACACGTAACCTAATCAGCCTGTGGGGTGCAGTGCCTCACCCAGGAAGCCAGAGCATCTCTTCCTGCAGAAATTCCTGTTCTGCTCTATTGCCTGGCTGTATGCGCAACGTCTATTAAAAATGACTTGGGTTACAGATGGAATCCGTCTTGTTTCACTAGACACCATCGTTGCTATATTTAAGCAGGTGCTTTAAAACTAAAGTGAGTGAGTGTGCTGCAATGAATGAGAAATTTAACCATGGGGTTTGTTATCTAACAATTACATGACAAACACTTCACGCAGAGCTGCAAATGTGGTTGTAATCCTTTACTGAAGAAAGTATTTTTCTTTGTCTATATACAGCCTGCCAGCAATTTCCCAGGAACATCATCTACTGACATTTCTTTATCAGAAGAAACTCAGCCTCCATCTCAGTCCAGCTCCAGCTATGGTCTTCCCCCCAATGCTCCAGCCCTTTATACTCCAACTTACTTCTTGCCTGGAGAAAAGCCTCCACCATATGCACCATAGAACAAAGAATTTTAGGTAGCTCGTAGCCTTTTATTTTGTTTTTAAGAAACCTCTGGAAACTGTGCTGTGCAGGCGCCAGACCTCCCCAGGAACCCACTACAGAATGTGTCACGGCCACTCTGCTTTTACCCACATCTCACTGTGGGCAGAGCAGAACCCTGGAAACCTTGGGGCAGAGACATCACCAGTGGGGTGACCAGTTGCCACCCAGTTTGCTTGCAGTCAAATGCAGTGTTGCTTTCTGGAGACCATGAGACCTTCTTGCTACACTGTAGAATGAATTTTCTTCAAGAGGAGAAATGATGAAAACACCCTGGGTACATGTTCTGCTTTCGTAAACCAATGTAGGGGGGTTGTAGCCTGTGTTGTCTGAGTGGATAGTCAGGAGCTCTCCGAGTCAATCATTTTGGGTAGAAAGAGACCAGGTGTTTGTTTGCTTGTAGTATTTATTTAATAACCCTTTTTGGTGAAAGTGTTGTACCAATAAATAAAGTGTGGCAATTATTTTACAATAAAATTGACTGTGTGTCTGTGTGTATTTATACTATACCTAAGGCTGTGTATATTTGTAAGGACAGGAAAACCAAAGAGCAGTGGAAAAAAGTACCCTACCAAGTAGTTCCCTCTTTCAAGTTTCAAACAGAAAGGCTAATTTTATTGGGACTATTTTATTCTAACTTTGTGCCAGTCTAGTCTGTGTAGTAAAATGTCATGTCAGTGTGCTGAAGATGCAATTTCCAGACAGGTATTTTAAGCTGCACTTCAGTGTTCAAGTTAATTCCCTTCTAGTCAAAAGAGGACCACAACCCAAAGCACTCAATGTTAAACCTTGGTCACTTATTTTTAAACTGATCAAGACCTGATCCGGGTATTTCACAATGACTGAAACAGAGTGGGAAGAGGGTCAGAATTCCTTCTTTGTATTTTTTTTTTTCTTATTATTATTTTATTTTCTCCTACTGTATAGAGACAAGTTGGCAAGGCTAAGCCACAATACCTGTAGCAGTGCCACTGACAGGAGCAAAGTCTTGTCCCTGTTGTGTGCACCCTGCCCTCTGGCTGTGCATCACATCAGCTGGGATCTCACTTAACACAGGGCTGCCATGTTTCGTGGGCAGGAGTGGCTACACCAGCATGAAAAGCCATCAGACTGCTGCATCCCTTCCCTGCATTCTGCTCCTGCAGGAAGGGTGGTGCTGCTGCTGTTTGCTCTATACATCTTGCAGTCCAGACAGCAACGAAGCTATAGACATTTCCTGAAAGGCCAAAGAGTAAAACAGGGAAAGGAAGGTATTTCTCATTAACTTTATAAGCAGCTGCTTCATATTATGAAAATATTCAAACCCCCTATATAAACAAAACCAGTCTACTTCACAGTTTCCTATGAAAGGAATTGACACCATCAGACCAGCTGAAAACAGAACAAGGAATGATCATCCTTTTACATAATACTTTCCACCTTTCAAGAAATTTCTGTTAATTCATATGTTGTACCACTGTGTATAAATAGCAGATTCAGTACTAATACACATAAGATGAGGTTAATGGACTATAAATGCCATACTTTGTTCAATTAAGGTTTTTCTGAGATGCAAAGTTTTAGGCCAGTGATGTTATCATCAGTGACAAGGTGCCTTACTTGTATTGTTGACAGGGCAAGTTATGTGAACCTGGTTGAGAGAAACAGCAGTCAGAGAGGAAACTATTATTTTTCTTTTAAACAATTTAACACATCCAAAATGCTTAGTTCTTGTGCAAATGCATGCTGTGAAGAGCACAATGACCCTGATCATGAAATGAGTGGAACCACACATTTATTTTTTACTTACTATGAATACTACCAGGGGAACCACCTGGGTTCATTTTTGGGACTCAAAGCCTGGAACAGACTTGCACCCTTTGAATTGAGCACCTAGACTGCTAACAGAACAAAAATGAAATCAGTATTTCTCCTGGGTCAAAGCACAATGACTGAGGAAGAATTAAGGAAAGCATATCACTTTTTTCCTCATTTCAATGGTATTTGGAAGTAGCCGCCTCTTCCTCCAGTGTGGTACTGCTGTAGGGTATTAAAAACAATCCAGCTTGACACAAAAGACACCCACTTTCCGTAATTCTCCAGACTTACAAACTCTGGCTTTCTCTTCTAAACCACATTTTGGGGTTGGGGGTGTTGTGGTCTATGCAAAATATCTTTGCATACATACACACATATGCACAGCCTGGGAGAAACTTGCCCTGAATTAGGTTGGTTTAGAAAATAGATCTGAAGTCTTTTTTTTCACATCATATTAAGTCTGAAACTACTGTACCACAGGATTCACGTTTCCAGGATCCAAAATAATTCTGGCCTCATAAATAGTACCACTTACATTAACACAAAGGTCAGACATGTTTGTGATTCATTTATGCCACGTGGTAGTTTTTTGGGAACTACCACAGAAATTATGCAAAAATGCCAGACATAAGACTATTTTGCTAACATGTTTCCTTTGAAAGGAACAAAGTAAAACAGGGTTTGTTTCATCTGCTTGGTTTAAAAAATAGTAGGTGTCTTCCAAGTTTGTACTGTTTTCATTAGAGCTACTCCAAGTTAAAAAGACGGGAGATGTATTTTGGTAAAGGACTAAAATATCCATGAAAAACACATAGAAAACAAAACACTGCAGTGTAGAAGTGCTACTAACCACAGTATCTTCAGGATTCCTGGCTCTCACTGGAGATACTAAGGTTTCTTGGGTTCTGCATCATATGACAAGTTGATCCGGAGTCATCAACTCTAAGAGGAAGCACTCTCAGGAATAAGGTTTCCCTTGATCAATAAAAAATAAAAACATAGAACTATTTCTGGGTTTTGCTATCCATGCACACTCCACCAATAAGTTATTACTGTCTAGTGAGCAACTACCCTTTCAAACTTGCATCTGATTACACCTGAGCGTAGAGAGTCTTTTTAATGGTCCTTCTTTAAGTGTAAATGACTAGGTTGGTTGAAAGTGATAAAACTCTGGTCTTTTCTGCCCTATTGCATTACTGCTGAGTGATTTGGCCATGATACAGAGCTATGATATCATGCTGCATAATGGCTAATAGAGCACCTTCCTCTTCTCTGCTAAATAAAGCAGGGATCCTTACTAGGAAATATGTTTGGGATAGTCTTCCCCCTCTTCCAGCTTTTCCTCTGGGACAGTTACATTTCCACAGCTTGGTCAGAGATATTGTCACACGTGTGGATTATCCAGCTTATCTGTCATCTCCACATTTGATTAGGCAAAACACGGCATAGAATGACCAGGAACAATTTATAAAAGACTTTGTAGAATTAGACCTTTTCCACGTAAACCCTCTGAAGCATAAGGATAACCTTAGCCACCCATTATTCGGATTTCCACCACACCATCTTTTTCAGTTCATTAATCTGATGCAAGACAAGGATCAAATAAAGCAAGATTTAAGTGACTCAGAGCAGGCTAGGCAAAGCCCACCCCAACTTCACAAGGACAGCCTGAAAGCTGAATGCACTTTATGGCTCTACAACCTCTCCTGAGTAAACCCCCACGCATTTTCTCACCACCCTGCAATTTGGCCTGGCAAACTCTCACGGTCTCAAGCCTCCCTGCTCCCACTAAGCTCACAGTGAATGAGCCAACCTAAAAAACTAAGAAGCAAAAATATGCCATCATCAGATAATATACCCCAATTCTTGACACCTCATCATTTTTTCAGCAGTTATTGACATTAAAACCATATGACATTAAACTTCTTGAATCTTTTAATTGTTTCCTACTGACCCAACTCTGTTTTTCCTTTTCTGTTGACCAAGAGTTTTTCTAAAGGTCACAACTGAGTCTTCTATCTGTGATACCAGAAAAGAAACCTCTAGCAATAAGAATAGCAGCAACCATTTGCTTTCCAGCCCAGAAGATACATAATACTGACCCAAGTACATAAAACCCCCTCCCTCCAAAAAAAAAACCCAAAAACAAATACACAAAAATAATCCCCCACTAGTGTAACCTCCACATCAAGCACAGCCTGAGTCATTATCTCCAAATAACAGAATACAGAATAATCTCAGTACAGGTGAATTAAAAACTTGTATGTAAATATTTTATTCTCTCATATTTTGCAAATCAGAAAGCAGTGTTTGGTAATAAAAAATAATACAGACATTATTTTTCTTCCAGTCCACACTCATATATTACCAGGTTTTCCACATTACAGATAAAACTGTCTCTTACAGTCTAAAGACAACATTCTCCTTCTGTATATTCTGTACTTTTGGCTTATTTAATATTAGTCTTCTGAACTATTTACAAATATATTACAACCTTTAAACCTTAAAGCAAAGGAGTATTTCAATAATCAATCTGACAGAAGGATCAGTAGCTCCTACATAACTTCAGTGTTTAAGAGAAACTATACACGCAGTGCGGGAGGTCTGAATAATTTATATCTTAAAAAAAAAAAAAAAAAAAAAAAAAAAAAAAAAAAAAATATCCCTCCTTTATGGGGGCAAAACTTAACACCATCACTGGCTTCAGTGAATTTCTCTTAAGTACTGATACAGCAGATGAGGAACACTCCTTATTTACTAACAAATGATTAACACCACCTTTAGACATGCTGAGAAATTCCCAGAGAGTTGTATAAACGTGGAATATTGGTGCGATGTTGCAATTTCTCTCCTTTTTTTTTGTTGTTTTTTACAGGTTTGTGTATTAGACCTCCGGAAATAGCGCTACTAGTTGGAAGCCATGGACCGACTATGAATGTGTACATAGCCAAAATGACTGTCCCTGACCCATGTACTGCTATAGTCCCAATTGAACCATGGCCAGTCCACTACAGCCAAACGTAAAAGGGAGTGCTAAAAAATTTATATATAAAAAAAAAAAAAAAAAAAAAAAAAAAAAAGAAAAGCATTGAAAGTTTCTGAATACAAAACTTTCGCATTGCAGTGGTACCTACTGACCCGCCTCGACTGGAGGACAGGAATGTGAGGTGATGTCACTGTGCTTGTAGAGAGCCTCGTCTAAGTCCAGTGCCTTGTTGCTCAGCTTGATGGTCATGCAGCCATGGTAGGAGGCGGTGACCGGAGTGGAAGTCACAGGAACATCTGTGTGAAAGGAGAGACAAACAGCTATGATGAGCGGTTTTGAATAAATACCTGTCCTACCTATGCTCAGATGAGCATCACTTCAGTGAATTCAGACTCCCTTCCACGCTGGGATTTCTGCCTCTCCCTCGCTCCTCTCACCAGAAGGTAAGAAAACAATCCCAGATGCGGGGAAAACACCATCTGCTCTTGTGCACAAAAGCCCTTCTCCCAGGCTGAACCCTTCCACAGCTGCTCTGTGTCTCTGCAAGGTTTCCAGTACCAATGAAACCACATGCTGCTCAGCAGCCAGGCTTTGCTCCAATTGCACACTGTGTTCACGCTGGTTTCCACCTCAATGTTTCCCTCCCCCTCCACCTCTGGACCCTCTAACTTTGTCTTTAGTGGAGTTGCTATACCTTCCTCTAACGCTCTCCCTCTCTCCATCTTCAAAAGATCTGCCAAAAGATTATCAGAAGAACTTCACGACAGGAAAGCTCCTCCTATACACAGCCTCTACCACTTGCTGCACTCATCTTTACCGTTCTATGATTATGCACAGGGAGGTTGCTGGCATTCATCAGAAAAGCGCTGGAATACATCAATTGAGTTGGTAAGACTAATGAGACTAATTTATTTTTTTTTATGGAGATCCACTGGGGACATAATTTGATCAGTTTACCAAAGGCAGAAAACAAATAGCAAGGAAGGAGACACTAAGTACAATCCAACAGACTAAAGAAAATCAGTCAATATTATTACTAACTTCTGTAACATCCTATACAAACTGACCTTACATAAACAAAAAAACCTGCATGTAATAAAATAATAACATGAAAATTTACGTGAGCTGTGTCCTCTACCCTTCCACAGAGGTTATTAGTTTATTTACAACCCAAAGCCAACCTAATCAAGCTCGTTGTACAATGGAAAGCAATCAACGTCTGAAAGATTATTTAACTTCACAGCTAATGCAGGTGGCTAAGTAAATCACTAATCTCTACACTGAAGCAAGGACAACTTGAACAATAGGTTGTCCTGTTGACCTGAGATTATATGCAATTCAAAGGGTTCTGCCTGGAGACACGCAGGGCCAAATTTGAAGCTGATGTGAGCAAACACAGCTCAGACTGAGGACAGACTCCGGGACTGAGTGAAAGAAAGAATAATTGTGTGGGATCTGTAAGCCACAAAGAGATACTATAAATTTTTCAGCTTCCTGGCTGAAAAATACCATTGCTCAGTAGTTGCTTAAACTAACCATTTTAGCTACTTCCTATTTCTCCTCATTTACCAAATTATATCTGTGAAGTCTGCTTAAGAGAAGGGGGCATCTGTGTTGTAGTACCTCACATGAATGTAAATTAAGTTTTGACTCTGAAGAAGTTGACAGAAGTCTTGGCTTAATGGCTTGAACACCCATCCAAGGAATCATGCAGATTGCTGTTACCTGTGTCACGGGGCTGACTGAAAGACAGTGTGAGCTTTGAGATGGATTTGTAAGATACTATCAAAAATAACTAAAAAAAATATTTTCTTTGTGTGTATAATTGCAAATCAGGTCAAATATTTAATTTTCTCTTATGACTAGAAATGGATCTGTCTGAAATGTGGTCCTGTAAAGACTTAAAAGCCTTGTTTAAAGGATCCTTCCCCTGGTGGTGTACACACTGCCTGGGAAAACACATATGCGTTGTATAAAATACACAATTAAGGACTTACCAGAACTGAAAGTACCATAGAAAAGGGAGTAAATGCATATATGTTCCATCTTATCTCTTGAAACTCTAAATAATATTTCTCCCACATCTGCAATATTAGCTGTACTTGGGATGGGACATGCTACATATTTTGACTCAGAATTCTTTCTTTAATTTTGGCAAATGGAATAAAGGCATTAAGTGTGACCGCTATATTTTGTTTTTTCCACAGGGTATGGAGGCAGGGAAAAACCAAAAACGACGTAATGTTTTCAAAATTTGAATGAGCCAAACTCACTTAGATGTGACCATTTGGTATAGTTATTTAACCCACAACGATGAATCTGAGCAAAGTGCTGAAATGTTTATTCGTTTGGCAAATGACAAGGTTTCTTGATACAAGTGCTGGGTTCCTCTCAATGGCAAAAGCAGACCACAGGCAGAAATTCCTGTTGCTAAGCACAACAGAACAAAGTGGGAAAGTTGCCAAACCTACAGAAGTCATCTGGGTCTAAACTGTCACAGCTATGATATCTCACACTTAGTTCTACATAATTAAAAACTGGGCTTCACCCAGCACAGATAGTCTCAGCAAACCACAGAGAACTTGGGATAGCTACAGAATGGGCTTGTTTTCTGAGCTGTGAAAGTCTTTGCTGTGCATTTGAGAGCTACCTGAAAGCAAGCAGGTGACATCTCTTTCTTTTGCGATGGCCAGCTTGGACAATTCAATCTGACACTGTAAAATGAGACACTTGGGGATTCAGCCTTGTTTCCATCAGTGTGTGAACGTCCCAGTGTGTGTGGCCTCCCCCTTTTAGGTGTCACTAGGAGCCATTTACATCATACTCTGAAAACTCCTGCTCATGGTGGGAACAGTCACGCCATGTGTCCTAGCGCACATGGTACCTCAGCCACTCTGTTCCAGCTTGACTGCTTCACCACCTACCAAGCGGCCAACATTGCTGCCCCTCCCTTGCTTGGGCAAGTAAGGGCAAGATTTTGCTTAGCTGCTGGCAATAAAATAGGATGTACTGCTGTGCTTCAGAAAAATAAGTGTTTCCTTAATTGCATTCCTCAGCAGTAGGGTCTGATAAACCAGTTCAGCCAGAACAAGAAACAAACAACCAAACGTGGCCAAAATTCATGATTCAGATGAAAATTTGACCTTCCAGGTTCAGAAGGAGAAGGTTCAGAACAGAGGAGTAAACTGACCTCTCACAAGAAGCCCTGTTGTTGCTGAAAAGCCAGAGAAACTATAAATTGTGGTCACCCCTGGGTTGTGCCATGAATACTCTCTGCTGCAAGGAAATCTGTTAATCGTGGAGTGCTGTCATCAGTTCACAGAGAACATCAGCCAGGGAGAATCACCACACCGGGCTTCCCAAGCATCAGTCAAAACAATGTGGGGCCACTGGTACTCCCCACAAGGAGTGCTCACACACTCTCACCTAACGAGCACTAATGAAGCACTGCAGGGGCCTCTGGTACAGCTCCTACAGATTTTACCAGGTTTAAGACTATGACCCTGCTTACAGCTGCCCTTCAGAAAAATCATTCGTATTGTTGACCCAGCAAAACGCCCTCTATTTTTGCCTCCAGCTGTCCTCAGAAGGACGTGGTTGTTCAAAAAGAAAATAATTGTCAAGCACACCCTCATTGCAGACAAAGCCTGCTGAAGCAGAAGCAGAGAAGGAGGCTCCCAGCTTGAATGAGAAGAGATGATTTTCCTGACTGCCAGCTCAGCAAGGTGAGTTAGGAGTCTGTAGTCCAAGCTATAAAACTGGATGCTCACCTGGCAATCCTCCCACGTATGTCTTCACCGTTGACTTCACCAAAGAGCTCTCCAAGATGGACAGACTGTCTTCTAACTCAGAGGTGCTTAGTTCATCCTCTCCAGCTATCCCATCTACCCTCAGGGATAAGTGATCCTTCTTGAGGAGGATGTCCACAGAGTGTTCCTTCTTATCACAGAGATTTATTGCCAGTCTGGACACAACTGTGTTCTCCAAAGCCACGATGATAAACTGGACAGCAGGAGAAAGAAGAAAAATGATGCAGTGAGCAGAAATATATCTAGCCATGTCTATCCAAGACCAAGATGGCCCTTGTTTACAAAGTTTTTGCAGAGCCACCATTGCTGATTGTGTTCTGAGCTCACCTGCATAGATGAAAAACCAGGGAACCAGTGGGACTAATTGTTAGTTGTAACCACTGTGTTTTCAGAGAGAATTCTTAGTGGGTCTTACAGAGGTTGTTTTATTGCCCTGAAAGCAAACAGACTACAGCTGCTCTGTTATAAATGAAAAGTCGGCTCATGGGTTTTAGTATAATTATTCCTGATTTACACTCATGCAATGCCAGAATCTAGCCCTTTAGTATAAATGCCATTAAATCAGTAGCTTTGGCATTCCATCATAACTGGCTTTTCACTGCACCTGGAGTGACACCTAAGCCTGTTTCTTGATGACCTTGGGACTATTACTGATGACCTCTAGAGAATGAAAATTCTTTGCTTATGATATTAACAGCTTCTGTGTCAGAAAAAAAAAACAAAACAAAAAATGCCTGCATACAAGAGACCAGTTTCAGCTTTTACCTAGACAACATCTGCAAAGAGCTCCCTAGTAGTGTCTGACATGTACCCGTAAGAGGCAGAACTTTGGTGTCAGCCAAGCACCTCAGTCTCAGACTGTGTTCTGCACTGGTGGGGGCAAACAGGGCCGCGGGCAGCAAGCCTGACAACTTTCAGTTCCCAGGAAATAGCAAGGAACCTTCTCCAGAAAAATGCTTAAGTCTGTACCTGTTGTTTCAGTTTTTTTGTGGAGTGATAATCAATCAGAGAGAGAGACAAAGGGACGGATGCTTCTTCTGTAACTAGAGCGAACAGCACACCAGTATCTGTTGCTGGTTGAATTGCAGCATTTACTTCTATTTCCCAGGTTGTCTGGGTTTCATTTCCAGATGAAGGTTGCACTGCAGAAAAAGAAATGAGTAGCGTGACAAACACAGGACTAACAGGGTAGGCTATGCAATTTCTGCCTGGAGAAGAGGATAGGTGGATGAGCATACGGAGGGACTGCCACATTTCTTTTACTCAAAAAAAATAATAATCCAAATCACCTGAACATAAAATCAGAGAAGAAAATGCCATGTTTCCTCTTGTTACCTTCTGCATTCTGCTGCCTTTCAGAATGTCAAAGGACAAGGTTAAGCTTTTTTATCACAAAGAGAGATTCAAATTCCAACAACTGTCAATCCAACACATTCAAAGAACTGCTGCAAGTTAGGACACCCGATTTTTTAATAGCTCTTGGCTGTCCAAAAATCACTGAGGAATCTAAGTCCAAATCTGACATGCAGGAAACATTTCAAAGCCTGCGTTGAACTGAAAAAGGATATAAGGAAGCTACACTGATCACCTGCCTGATCACTTCCTGATCACCTACCTCTCAGAAGCATGGGATGTTTTATCTCACTTGCTGAACTCTGAACTCTTTGACATCTTTCTTACTGACCCAGTGGCCTCGTAATTTAAAAAGTGACACTGGCTGCAAAGAAAGTTTTCAATCCTGCTTCTGCAACCTCCTTTCATAGAAGTATTAGCTTTGCTGTTCACCATATCTTGAGATACAATAAATAAGTTCTTTATAAAGCAACATCAGCAAGCTAAAAAAACCCCAGCAAACCCAAAACCCAAGGAGGACTATTGTTTGTAGAAAAAAAAAAACAAAAAAACTGAAGGTGCTGAGGACTCATCTCAGCTGAGTGCTGTCATTTGCGCTTCAGATGCTGCCTTGTATCTACTTTGCAGCTTTTGAATCCATGTAGTAAACAAGACGACAGACACCTGATACTCCCTAATTTGCAATGGCAGAGCAGAAAAATCCACATAATGATGCACAAAAGGCTTCTGCAGAGGAGGAACTGCACATAAAACTATAATAGACGGTTGGCATTTGTACGGGCTTAAAAATACTGACAGTTGATCGCATATATAAACAAACAGAATAATCTAGAATAAAGGTGCCCTTCTGAGTGCTAAATTAGTACGTCCAGGTTTGGTTTGAAACTTGTTATTCCTGTATCTAGGCCAATTTCATTCAGCTTGTATCAGAGATAAGCTTAGTGTGTTTGTCCCAAGTGTAACGCATATCATCCAAGGATTAAATGTGAGTCTGATCTTGGACATCTTCATAGAATTTTCTAGGTTGGAAGGCATCTTTAAGATCATCGAATTTTGCTAGCCATTATATTGATTTTTGGTCCATCATAAGCTCAAGATACAGCACTATGGTGTGCTGTTCTCCCTCTTCAGCAGAAAATAGTGGAGAGTGCTGGAACCATGTACGCTGCTGACAGAGGGAAGTGAAGCCCCTAATTCTGAGGGTGAGCTGGAACCAGCCTGGATGTGAAATGCATCACTCAAACTAATCCATCCTGGTCATATTCGTACTGGCTCTAACCATCACACATAAGCTTCCCTTTGCTGTAACCACAAGTTTAGCTATTCCCTTTCCAGCCACAGCTGCCAGCCTTTTCTGCATCAATCAACAGTGAGCCTGGCACACACTCAAGTTTTAAACTGTTGAGTATGGTTAATGGCAGGAAAACAGGTCAGAAATAATAGTAAAAAAGTACTTACCATAAGTAAGATTAAACACAGCAAAACCTCGTCCAGGATAGAAAGACCCTCGTCCTGCTACAGAAAAGCACTGCATCCTTTCATTCATCTTTATGGTCTCTTGGATAGTGGTGTCCTCCCCATTCAGCCAGTTCCATGCCCGCATGCAGCCATCCAGCCGAGGATTTATCTAGGAAGATAAAGCAGTATCTCATGCCTCAAAATATTGCCCAGTGAAGAATAACTGATTTTGGGTGCAGTGGAATATCGAATTATGTTACGATACTGAACAGGAGAAATCATTTTGACATGTTATGCCCATGCAAACCAATTGGTGGCAACCCCAGTCCCGCAACCCCAAGCAAGTAAGTGGTCAGTATTCCCCAGGAAGCTCCTCTTAGCTCAGCTTGTTTCCACAGGACAGAAGGGCAGTAGCTAATGCAGGTGCTGATTTGATTTTATTGATTCTGTTCGCCGCTCCTACATGCTGCCCACGATTAGTACAATTCACTTCTAAAGCTCTGTAGCCGAAGCTTTGTAACTCCTGTGATTCTGCATTGCGAAGGCTGGAGGCTAACTTGTAGTTAAAAAACCCAATCCTCTTTGTCATTGACAGCAGATTTCATGACACACAAGATGTTGGACCTGATCCTGGTATAAATTCTCAGGTTCTGGTTTAAGGGAGGGGTGCCTGAGCCACAAGCTGGGCACACCACTTTGTACACACCTTGTTCCTTCCACCTTCTAGTTATATCATCCTGTACCAACTCTCAGCAATAAAAGATGACATGTAAGAGAGAAGGCTCCTTGCAAAGCGTCTAAATCAGCACCTTTACCCCCAATTAATTGAAGGAGAGAGAGAATTAAGTGTCTCAGCCAGGATAAAAACCTCAGGAGTTTTTGGCTCTCAATCCTATATTCAGACCACACCCCGAGCTTAATGTTTCAGACAAGCAGTGGCCCTGAATGACTTCTTGAGAGGAACAGGAGCCTTCCTCAACTGTTGCACTCCCAGTCACAGAGCCGCAAACTTGTCACCTCATTTAGAAATAAAGAGATGCCAATTTGGGTCTCAAGGTGCCAACTCTGTGTGTGGTGGACATTCAAAACAGCCTGAGGCAGCAGCTATTCCAGAAACACAGCGATCTTTCAATCTCACACAAACAGTGCCTAACATTTTATTCATATGCCCTATCTACTTGAATTAGGAGGAAATATAGAAAAATAAGCTTCAGTTTTTCTTTGGTTTTACTAAACTGAAACAGCAAACGCAAGAAGCAAAACCATGATACAGGTAGACATAGTGCTTAGAGACATTGTTTAGTGATGGTTTTTATTGGAGTCAGGTTGATGGTTGGACTAGATGATCTTAAAGGTCCCGTCCAAGCTAGACAATTTTATGATTATAATATATGTGAAGCACAAATTTCGATCACAACACAGGAATTGTCCCCAGAGCTGTTTCCAGACCCAGTGGGTACAATGGTACCCTCATACAGTGGTGTCTCTGCCCACTGACCCCCCGGGGCCACTCCAAGCCAGCATGACCACTCTTAATTTTGTCACGTGCTCCAGTTCTGCTGTGTCCTAATTCTGCAGGCCAAGGGTGGGATACAACCTCACCCAAACTTATCAATCAAAAAATCAGGAGTCTCACCTTTGCTACTGCCTTAGGCTCCCTCTACAGTCAGTGGAGAGAAAGCTGTATCCAGAAGGTGTTAATTCCACCTGTTTCAGGGCAGGCTGAACTGCTCTCAGGAAGGACCTACATCACCCCAAGAGAAGACGAAATCAAGCCCTTCAGGCATGCAAAACAACATGAGCGATAATGCTATACTTACCGGTAGAATAAGGTTCTTCGTTTTGAATGGAATGCCTCCTACTGTCAAATTCAGCTGATACAGTCCTTTTTCTAGAGTAAAGAGATCCCCCGAGACAGCTATTTTCATAACTGCATCCCTGTTGACCTTTATAATCAAACTTCTTTCAAGTTCTTCAACAGAGATCTGAAAAAGTAGAATTGCAAATAGAGTAAGAAGTCAGGATAAAAATAACTTAGTATCTGCAGCCTCAACTAAAGGACAGACACCACTAGTGAAATCCCCAAGGTGGAGGAATTTTTTGTGTCCCCAAGCCTCTTTGTCCACCTTTTAAGTTCCATTCCGCCTTGACAGGTAAATCTTTACTCTAGAAAGCAACCTGGGGTTGCCCTAGTGGCAAAGACAGCCCAGCTACTTCAAAACACCTACACAAAAATACAGGTGGATTAACTACATGACATTTGTAGGTTGCTCTATGCAAAATGTAAACGCATTAACAAGTTATTAATGAGAAACTTCCTATTGCAACTGCATGTGAAAGGAAAAACTGGAAAGACAGATCAGAAGATGTATGTTGTTGGATGAGTGAAAAATAAATGCAGAAGCCTTCCAGTTGCACTAAGTCTAGTCTTTGAATACTGACCCCTGAAAAAAGGCCAACAGAAGATGTCACGTTTGAGAGGGCAATAAAAATGTATAATAGGCAATAATTTTACTCTCAAAAGTCTCTGCAAGTTTCACCTCCATGTCTCCAAAGAGATACTTCTAGGAAGACTCTATCTCCGCTGAAATTTTAAAAAAAAGTCATAATTTTAACTATGACCAGGCTGCACAGAGAAGCACTATAAAGCTCAGCTCTGCAGAGGGAGAGGAGGAGGCAAAGCACGAAGCTGACGCACAGCAGGCTGCTGAAGAGCAGCATGGATTCTGCACCTTGGGACCTGGGTCCTGCTACCAATGCGGGTGTTCTGTGGCCGTAGCAGAAGACAACCCCTTTCTTCCTGCAGAGAAGAAAGGAGTGTATCTCCTCTATTTCAGTATCTTCAACACAGCACTCCTTCCCATGCCATGACTCCCTTGCCACCTACCCACTCTTCACCCATGTAAACTCTATTCCCTGGGACACCCAGACGTCATCATCAGTGAGCTGATGTACAGAACCAAATACCTATTTCAGCAGCTGTTTATACCTGTTCTTCCCTCTTCCTGCTAGTAGCCCAGGTCATGAGCATCTTTCCTTTTGGATTTCAAAATTACCTGCCCCAAATTTGTCTCCATCAGCCACGCTGAGCCCTCGCTCTGTGGCTGTAATATAAAGGACAACAGGGTTGAGCAGGTTTATGCCTGGACACTCCCTTTGGATTGCAGTCTTTAGTAATGAAGATTAAGTGAATTTGATAGTTGAAAAGATTATTCACAGACTATCAAGCTGCTTCTCCTGTGGATTCCAGAACAGTCTGGCTTATATTGCTAGAACACTGTTTACACCTGGTGTGTTGCTCCATGCTGTATCCTGCAGGACACAAATTTACTTGTCTGAAGCTTTCTTGTTTAAAGTGGCATCTACACCTCCTGACTGCATTCCATGGAGACACACACACCAGTCTCAAACAGGCTTTTTTGGGCATTGGCAGGCTGTAAAGTCCACTCAGTGGGTGGGATCATTAGCCCACAGGTCCTGGCAGCCACAGCCCAACTGGCTTAGCAACCCTGGCCATCTAGCTAAAAACTCACTTGGACACCTCAGCTTGGTGTCATTGTCACCGCAGCCCTAATGCACCGGGGTGCAGAGTGCCATAAGGAGCTGGCACAGTTGCTCTCCCTGCTCCTAGCACAGATTGTGGGCAGCCATGGAGCAAACAACAATGGGGAAAGGCCGGCTCCAGCAATGCCTGTACAGAGATGTCCTCTGTGAAGAAATTCTGCAACTGGTAAGGCCACCAAAATTCAGGGAATTCTAAAATTTTGCCAGGTTGCATGGAAAGTAATAACATAGACATTTTAAAAACTAGTCTGAGTTCCTAGCTGCTTCTGATCATCACTATAAACAAACCCAAACCAGTGGAAACTTCCACAGGAGAAGGAGTTAATCCCCGTGGAAGCTCTTAGCAAAATTCCAGTTTAGGAAATTACATTCTGCCTACTTCACGCTGCCCTCTGGCAGTTTCAGCTGCGGTTCTTTATATTCAAAGCTTAATTGCTGGTGCACCACCGTCACCTACGAGCCAAAAGGGGAAGCATTTCCGTAGTTAGCAGACTGCCCTAATTCCCTCCTTGCAACCAGCTGCTGCCTGCCACAGTGTGCTCAGGGACCATCAGGCGGGCAGTTCTCGTAGCTAAGGGTTCCCATATGGTCTAGCCATAAAGTCGGTCAGCTTTGTGTCTGAATTCCTGCCCTGGATCACCCATAGCACAGTAGACAGCCCTGAAAAGGGACGAGAGTACAGGTAGCCGCAGGGTTAAAGCCAAAGACACATCTGCTTGCGATTGCTTAACCTCCAGTTCTGACATTTAACAGTGCAGGTAGGTTATTATTTTTGCTAACCATGCTGTCCTCAGAGCAGTACTAAACTAAACGTTGAAAACACGACAAAATGATGACTTTTTTTTTTTTTGGAAATGCAAAACAAACAGAAGGCGAGTGCGCTCGCTACTATCATCAGTTCATACACGCCACTTCATCAAGCTGGATTACACACAAATAACTACATTAGAAGTTTTTCCTTGTTTGTGTTTTCAATGCTGGGAATGATCACTTAAAAATAGATTAGGAGAGATCAGAGAAAATACCTAGGTGGAAATACTGGCCCCGAGTTGTGAAAATGCCTTCCTATTACCATAAAAGTATGCAGCTTTTGCGCAAGAGACCGTAAGTCATACACTGCTGGTGCTTTTTCTCATGTTTTGCTTTTAAATAGCCATTGTTTTTTCATCTGCTGAAAGTAAAATAGCAAAAGTACTAGTTTCTCACAACCTCTCAAGTTCCAAACTCCACTGTTGTAGGTCTAAGCAAAACTAAGAGCTTGATCCTGTGTATACTGAACTCCAGAATCAAGTTCCCCAACTGCTCCAAAGGTTGTTGGGGTTGTGCTTCACACAAGATGGGTTGAAAAGTACACACAAGTCCATCCTTCAAGTGAAATGTGTGGCAACATGTTTTGTAAAAGGAGAAAAGTAAAAAGGAATAACTCCTCCTCAACAGGATTACCCAAATTAAAAACCATGCCAGACAGAGGAAAAAGGAGAAATGAGGGTGGGGAGCAGATTTATAGTTTTATGGCTCCAACATGCAGATTAAATGGCATTTAGAGACAGGGGTGGCCCTGGATGCTAGGCAGAAGAGACCAAAGTACCTACAGGGTGGAGGTGAGGGATAAGAAAACAGAGCAGAGAAAGGAGAAATGACCAGCACCCCAGCAGCACAAGCAGCATCCCAAGTCTCAGAGGTGAGTCAACCACGAAGTCAAGAGACTAAGGGCTCCTTCCTCCTGCTGCCATTCATCTGGGGGTAAATCCTTCTGCCTTTGGCCAGTATCAGGCATGGCATTAACAGTTTCACTTTGGGAGACAGTCACCAGACCTATGGCCATCGACCTGCTCCACACAAGCACTTCTGTGCCAGCACTGTGATGCTCTCTGCCCTTCTCATGCCGTTCTATGTCTCTGGTAGCTGCCAAGCCCTGCTCAGCCCATGCTCAGGGCAGCACTGTTGGCTGCAGGGACACCTCTGCCCCCACTTTGGTATGGCTCCTGTCCACCTGCACTGCCCAGGGCTGCTGCTGTCACAGCACGCACAGCTCTGCCTGCCTTGTCCCAAAATGCCCTGGGGAAGAGTCTTCAGGGGATTTATACAACGTGCAAAAAGAATGCACAAAGAGCTCGTTGCTGCAGCAACCCAACCAGACAATTTGTTGGTTATGATGGCACCTGGAGTTAACTCCATTCACCACCACTTTCTGGGCCCAGCCATACAGCCAGTTTTTTACCAGGAAAGAGTACACCCATCCAAGCCGTAAGCAGTTTCTCCAGGAGAATGCTGTGGGAAGTGGTGTCAAAGGCTTTACTAAAGTCTAGGTAGACAACATCCACAGGCTTTCCCTCATCAACTAAGCAGGTCACGTTGTCACAGAAGGAGATCAGGTTAGTCAAGCATATTTATTGGCATATTACAAATCAGCAGAACAAATCTTACATCAAATTTAGTAAGAACTGGCTTGAGGTTATTCCTATCTGTAAAGATACCGCATGCCATACATTTTATCTACAGCTTTGCTGAACCTCTACAGCTCTCCATTTGGAATCTAGAATTGTTTCAGTGACAGTAAAGGAACTGAATTAAACATCACCTCATCTGCTCAGAAAATTACCAAATGTCAATAGTTGACAGTGAATGCACTCAAGGACTTCTTTATTTATTCATTAAACCCAAAATATTTCTCACCTTGATTTTTCCTTTAATGAGTAATTCTGAATTTTTTTATATGAAAAAATTTAAACCAGAAAATTATCCACAGTTACCAGCAGAGTTAGCTGAGAACTTCCCACCCACTCCCCAAGAGACACATTGACTTAAAAGTCAAAAGATTTATTTAAGTAAGACAAAATGAAAGGGGGGGAAAAGGCATAAATGAGAAGATGCATATATGAATTGCTGATTTAGTGTAGAACATACTACAGAATGCTTTTCCTGATTCTGTCACAAGTAGTAACACCCATGATGCTTCCTGAACCACCAGGAGATGTTCTGACTGAGTGTCAAGAACATCAATCCTTACAAGCTCCAAGATGCAGTGCATCATCTTGTAAGATTATTAGTAAGCAGAGGTCCACTTAGTTTCCAATAGACTCCAATATCTTTAAGCAGAGGTCCACTTAGTTTCCAATAGACTTCCAACAAGGGAAATGGACTATTTTTTATATAAAGAAGTCTGAGGAGCTTAAAAAAGGCTACTGTAGCATCACAGATTTGTCAAGGGCTCAGACAATGAACCCTGTGACTAAACAAACAAACAAATGGATGAGTAAACAAAAACAACCACACACACCACACAGCAAACAAACAACCCTGGAGAACTTCCTTAAGAGAACAGCTACTGAGTTTCTTGCCTCTTACTCCCTTCCAACCCTCACCCAGAAGGCATCTTCTCATACTAACACGAAGTCATATTAGCACTGCTGCATCTCAGAGCTACCGTGTCTGCTCTGGTCAGGCTGGCGTTGTACAAATTAGTGACCCAGCCTAGTTTACAAGGGTTATAAAGTATAATTCAATTTCTTAGGAAAAATACTCTGTTCTCACCTTAAGATGTATCATGTACTGGAGTGCATTGAATGGATAGGTTGGAAAAGCGTCTTCTCGAAGATGCAAAGAATACAGAAAGCCTAGCTGCACTTGACAGAGCCCACCAGGAGCAAGCCAAGAGAGGGTAAGATCCCAGCAGTGGTCTGGACTCACCGTTTGCCACATGCCGTGGTTGATGAGGGGTCCGCTGCTGGTCACGCGGCCAATCCCGTTGTATTTCAGCTGCAGCTCTAGCCGTCCTTTGCGCAAAGCCAAGACTACCCATGTGCTGTCTTGATGGCCTCCAGCAAAGAAAAGGATACCTTCAGGATCAAAGGTTCTAAAGTCGAACTCAGCCACAAGTCTGACCGCACAGGTGCCAAGAAATAAATTAGTTATGCAGAGTTCAAAAACCACAGAGTACTTTCCATACAGATAGCATCAATTCTAGCAGTTATAAAGCTCTGTTAATACATACTAGCTTTTAATGCACTCCTAAAAGACTTAAGCTGGAAAGACGGATTTTAAAACACCACCATGAATAAAGAATACATTATTGGACTTCAGTAATTATCTTAGGAGTGATGCGGTCAAGGCTGTCTTTCTCTATTACTGGTTTGGATAATGTTTCGCCTTACAGGACTCCATAATCCAAACAAATAAGGATGATCATAGAAATAATTGTTACTGTAATGACTTAATTCCATTGCATGCATTAAGGCCGGACAACGCATCCAACTCTAAATTGTCCTCACCTCGTCAGTTGTTTCCTTTTGAAGCGCAGTCTGATAACAGGAATGCCGCTGAACATCCTCCCCAGGTACAGGGACTTAATACTTTTTCCAACAGCAAAAGGCACACATGGTATTATGTTCTACAACCAAAACACGCTTTTGAGTGCTTATTCTCCTCTCGCAGCAGAAAGAGAACCAGCGAGTACGCCTCCTTTTCTCATGTAGTTGTTACACATAGAGCAGGCTACGGTACTTTAATGTTTATACTCTCAAAATACACTTGTTCTGGTACTGAGAACATTTCCTCTTTCCTTCCCTCCTCCCTCCTATCCACCTTGGAGGAATGTTTTCCTGTTGCAAAATGAAATTATACTCATAAGGTACAGCATAAGGTTTTCTGCTGCAATGTCGTGCTCGCAGCAAAAGATGTCCTAAGAACTTGCTGCTGGTTGGTTTCTGCAACCAGCAGCCCGTCCGCCTGAAGCCCATCCACCTCCAATGCCTGGAGGATGAAAGCTGCAAGTGCTGGTCCATAACTTACACCACATGTCCTGAGACCCGTGCAGCAGGATCTAACTCAGAAAAGCTTGTGCAGCCAGAGGTAACTCACAGCCAAACAGAGGGCTGGCAGGGCTATCACTGGCATGCTCTTATTGGAATGGGGACAGGAGGAGCATGAGAACAGACACTCCGGATGAACGTCCTCCCAAAAAGACTACCGAGACCCTTCTTTTCAGCAGAGCTACTGTCCCCAGCTCTCATGGCCTTGCCAGTATGACTTCCTCCTGCTGGTCACTGAGCTGAAATGGCTTTGGTCCAGAGCTTCATCAGTTATTCTCAACTGCAGTGTAAAATAAAGGTCTCTTCAGCAGTTATGGCAACAAGGACTAACATACCTCACATGTATTCATGTCCCGGGAAAGTTTCACTCCCCCTCTGCCATCGCAGTGACAGGTATAACTCCCTGGCGAGTTGACACAGGTCTGTTCACAGAGCTTTTCTTCACATTCATTTATATCTAGACAAAACCAGCAAAAAAAAAAAAAAAGAGGAGAAAACAACAACTGAGTTTGCTTAAACATGAATCATCTGGGGGAAAAAAAACGTTATCAGTGCTGTTTTGTAGCACCTTTCATTTGAGCACGTCCAAACGCTCTGCAGCCAGTACTTACCCTGGGACACATCTTTACAGGAGGGAAGAGTTAGAATTAGCATCTGCACAAATCTGTTTTCACAGACAGATTCCAGCTGCCCAAAGATACACAGCGAGTCAGTGGGAAGGCTGAAAGCAGAGCTCAACTCCTTGTCTGCTGGTTCAGAGCCCTGGCCTTGAACTTCTAGACAAGACTTCCTCCCTTCAGGCCCCTTCTGCTACGCCTCTGCTGACTGCCTCCTGCTCCTTCAACTCAGCTTCAACTCAGGGACTGCTTGCTTCATTGCTACTCAGCAGCTGGATCCTCAACAGACAAGTAAAAGCTGAGTTTCTCATTCATTTTCTTTTTGGTTTTTGTTTTGTTTTGTTTCTTTGGCTTGTTTTTATCCGCTTTGCAAACAAATGGAGGAAAACAAATTGTGACAGCCCACAGGGATCTCTTCAGGCAGAGATAAACACTTAAGAGCCCAGCAGGGCTGGTTGGCGTGTGATACAAGTCATTACTTTAACTTAGACAAAAGGCAGAGAACAATGCTAGTTTTGGAATACTTTCAAAACTTACTCCGTTGAGAAAGCTTGCAGGCAGTGTAGCCAGCAGAACTGTGCATGGTTCCAATGCATATTAAGCTCCTAGTTCAGAATAATACCACAAGACAGGTTTTGAAAGAACAACAGCTACTGCTCTGAAAGTTTTCTTGTCCCACAAAGAGAGACAGCAACACGCACAGATGCTTCCGAGCTCCCACCAGATCCTGTAATAAATTCAAGAAATCTCAGGACTCTGGCTCGTACAGCTTCATTCAAGTCATCGAAGATGACTGCAAACTAGATGAGCTCAAAGATGACAACAAATGGCAAACTCACTCACAACTAGGGAAAGGGAACAGAAGTCCAGTGTGTAAGCAAGATTTAATAATAAAAAAAAAAGCTTTTACTGAAGCCTGAAATTAAACTTCTGGGTTTTTATAGCTTTAAATCATGTAATAAACGCTAACATGATGTTATTTCATGAGCTTACCCTGACATGTCTTTCTCACGTTGTCGTACTTGTAGCCTGCATCACAAACACACTCGTATGAGCTTATTAAATTTTTACAGTGAGCTTCTCCACAGATGTCTGTTGATGCTGTGCATTCATCTATGTCTGCAAAACAAGCAATTAAACAATATTACTTCAGATGAGTATAATCACTTCACTGTTCGCACACTGGAGTGGGCTCAGGGTTGAATGATCCCTCTATTATTTTTGGTAACTGAAAAACCAGTATCTTTTAGAATCTAACTTTAGAGTCAGCTATAAGAAGTGACTTCAGGCTTTCAAAACCAGTTGTTGTTTCTTTCTTGAAGCCATTAACCACTATTGGAAAAAACAATTCAAAGTGAGCCAGGAGAAGTACTGTAAAACAAAATAGCTCCCACAAAACCAAAAAAAATCCCACTCCACTCTGGGGCTGAAACTGGGTTAAAAAGCAGCCATGAGGAAAAGCAGTATGATTTTTACTGAAACTGAAGGAACACGTAGCCTGTGGAGCATCACAGTTTTCTGTTCTCTTTCCTCAGACAGGCAAACTACCTTTTTTCATGCATTCACAGAACTAAGATCTAAACCTGCTGATCTGTAGCGGTAAAGGGGAATTGAAGCAGCCCAATTTGTCACAAAGACCAAGTCGTGCCTGAGAGATGGTGTGGGGTTTCACCACGAAGGCAGGCAACAGACTGCAACTGGAGGTCCATAAAAACAACCAAATGTTTTTCTAACATGGTAACTAATACCCAGCAAAACCCTGGTGTTGACAAAACGTTTGCATTATACTGAGAGTTTAATATTTACTTTTGCTTTTTTGTATGTGTTAAAACTACAACTACGTGTTAAAACTACAACTACATGTTACACCTTGTGATTTTCCCACGTATGAGTGAACTGGCCTGTGCTTATATGTTACATTCTCAGTGCTCTAGCAGACAGCACTAGGGTAGTATACAAATACACATACATAGGAAAACAAATGGAACTGTGAGCCCACTCACCGTCCGCCTGTCCGTGCCAACCGGCACCGGAGGAAAGGCACCATTCAAAAGGGAAGTTGGCTCTTCTAAGCGGCTGCTCCCATTAGAAAGGGATACCGTGTAATCTACATAGTCATCACTTTAAACAGTGGAAGTGACACAGAAATAAAATTCTGCTCTTTGTCTTTTTTGCCGGCAGCATTAATATGTTGTTCAGATCGGGTATGCAAACTGTTTAGAGCTATGTTGTCACATCCATCTGTAAGAGGCATATACACACACTTGCCTGGTTTTTCATGAGACAGACATAACTTTAACGGCCACCCATGATCATTAATGAGTCTGTGTCTCAGCACGCAGTTTCTTAACACTTTTAAAATCTCAGTTGCTTAAGTTTTGGTTATGTAAATTCATTCCACAGTTTCAATCAGATACTCCAGATCCTTACTTTCTGTTCTCAGCTGCTATATAAAACAGTTGCCAACCTTCACTAAGGCCTTTCTACAGCTATTAATATTCACTTGCAGTGAACTTATCCATCCATATCTATCTGAGCTCATTAGCTGCTGCACATATCCAAATTTGCAAAAATAAATTAAAATAAGAAACACACAAAAGGAAAACAAACGGCTGACATCCTAAGACACCGGGAGCCTGGAAAGAATCATAACAATGCATCTGGCCAGCCCGTCCTCCTCTCAACGTCAGGATATCAGGACTGATCAGCTAAACTAATTTAGCACAATCCAAGCCACAAATCCTCTGTGAATCACAGCCTGTGTGATGATGTTGGAGAGCAACACGGTGTGATTGCTGACAAGCCCAGGCATGTAGTGCTGGCTGGAGCACCCAGCACAACCCCAGCAGAGCAACCAGCACATCTCTGCTGGGCTAGGGAGTAGATGTGGGATGCTTAGTGTCACCCAGCTCTCTGAAATACAGTCACAAGTCACTAAGCATTTGCTGAAGCAAACTGAGAGGCCCAGCAAAGCTTACCTTCACATGTTTTGCTGTCTTTAAGAGTGAAACCGCTGTAGCAGGAGCAACGGTAGCTGCCTAGCTTGTTGAGGCAGAGCTGGTTACAGCCACCATTCTCCACTCTGCACTCATCAATATCTGCATCAAAAGAAAGCGTTAAAGTCAGCTTTTCACCTCCGTAAATAATCTGGAGGGTGAGAGTGGGTAGGATTTGGGAAGGAGAAAGACCAAACAAGACTCTATTACAGCTGCGACACAATGATTACAGAAAGTACAAAGATTTCATTCAAACACTTCAAGTACAGTAGTCCAAGTTCATTAAATTAAAAAAAAAAAAAAAGACAGAGAAGGAACTGTAACTGAGTATCTCCCTCACAGCTCTGAGAATGCAGAAAATTCTCTTCAGTCACTGTGGTGGAAGTTTGTTTGCAGAAGCAAACTAATTATAATTACCGTATTTTATATCATAACTAACTTTTAAGATTATACTGTGACCAGTAACTTTTAATTAAAACTTAAAAAAAACCAAGAATGATATATCCTTACTACTAAAGAACTCATGAGAACACAAAAAGTTTTAAGTTCACAGATACTGAGCACAGTGAGATAAACAGTGCTCTGTTGAAGTTAGTCTCACAAGCCTACTAAATTCAGTAGAGCCTGGATTTTACCCTCGATGTGCCCTACCTGGTCATTATGTCCAGTTTGTATCTGGGACTCTAGAGTTAGCTGTTGGGTAGAACAGCATAATTCACAGCATTTTATAAGAAAAAAAGGGGATATGCTTCAGGCCGATCAGTTGGAGCATAACTTCTTAGATTACCTTGCCAAGAGCAAGCTGAGAACCAACAAAGTCATATAAAAAATGTTGATGTGAAAGAGTTACCTGTTTCACAGAAGGGTAAAATCATGAGTGGGGTGTAAGTCAGGTTCAGTTCTGTGACTTTTGAATTGGGCAGCACAGTACCAGTGCCCATTTGAGGATACAGCAAAACCCAGTACACCTTTCTTACAGGTATAAAATATAAGGAAACCCAATTACCTTTTTCGCACGTTTTCCCCTGCCAGCCATGCTTGCATTCACAATAGAAGTCCCCCTTGAGATCTTCACATTTGACGGTCCCTTCTTTGTGACAAGGATCAGGAGAGCACTGGTTTGGTAAATCTGATTTAGGTAAGGAACAAAAAACAAAACAAAACATAACAATACACTGAAGTCACTGACAACCAGGTGTTTCACTCTCATTAGAAGTCAAGAAGCTTAAACAGTAATGGAGAATCACTATCAGAAACGCTCACACCTGGCAAAACTGGAAGCTAATTCTTAGTGCTCACATGCCAAACAAGCTGTGCCTGGAATTTTGCAGAGCACATGCAGTGGAATTCATCTCATTACAAAAGGGAGTGAGCTACCACCCCCGTATCTGAAGGGCACGTCCTGAAAGAAACAACTCCAAGTAGCTCATTTTAAAGAAAGTTAATTACACTCTCCCTAGTTTTGGAGAAAACAGAAAGCAGGCAGCAACTAAAGTACTCAAGGGAGAATGGGTACTCTTTTCAATTACTTTGGGTAGATCAATTGAGGATCTTACCAGGTCTGATAGATTTGTTGCTAGCAAGCGTTTATATCTGAAATTTTGGTCAAAGCTGTCCAATTTAGGCTTTTGTATTATGTAGAATAAAAATAAAAAAGAAATGCCAATGTGTTAACAGCATAACAATAGCCAACCACTAATCCAGTTTACAGACAGCACAATGTTCCTATGGGGCCAACTGAACTACTTGGAGACTGAAGTTAGATGCACACAGTGTTGCAGTTTATTGAGATTACCATGGAGTATTAATTGCATATTTCTTTACATTTATCGCATTGTACAATATAGACGTTTTCACCACTCCTTTGTCCAGAAGGTGTTTAATGGAGCTTTGGACATAAGGACCATCTAGTACAAGTTCAAAAACTATGACAAACATACCTGTCCACTATGCATATGCTTATAATAAAGATTCCACTGTTGTTCTGAAGAGGATTAACAGATGCCAGAAATCAGCAGATGATTGGCAATGGCTGTCATTAAATATAGTGGGCTGAATCAAGCAGGACAAAATAAACAAAGCAAAGAAAGGAGTTCTGTAAAAGGTCATAAAGGATCACAAATCTCCACAACTGACAGAATTTCCATGTCAAGTTGTGATTTCATTCACCTCTCTCAAAATACAGCCAAAACATATTGGTTCCAGGCAGTGTCTCACTTTTCTCCTCTATAACCAGCACAGCTTCAGCCTCTAACTGAGAAGATAAGCATTTGTCCTGAGCCTTAGCAAGGTGCTCCATCGTGGACAAGGGAGGAGAGAGCCAGAGGGCAGATAAGGAACAGAGTGTGACTTGGCCACAGAACCTCTGATTTTCAGTATTTTGCCTTGAGTCTCAGAAGCTAGTGCCTGGGAAAACTCTACAGGAAAAGCACCAAGTACACAATCCTAAAAGCCTCACAGAAATAACCATCCACTCACTGCAAACAAGGCCTAATTATCTTTCTCACTCACCACTCAGGCTGTGCAGAAGTGGGGCAAAGCCACAGCCGAGGTAGAAGCCAGGCCACACAAAAGAAGACACAGCTACATGGGCTGCCTGAACATCCAGCTGCCAGAATGCCTCCTGATAAATCACTGCCTAGTGAACACACCACTGGAGGTGGAGGAGTCGGGGAAGGAGAGGCCAGGTTAAGGCAGAGATGAGCCACGACAGAGAAGCTCTGATCAGCGTGCTTCTTTTCCTAGGCAGGCCAGAATTTGTATACAGTAAACAGGATGGTTCAGGTAGAGTAAGCCAAGTCTGTTTTCTTGAAGCAGCACAAACTAAGCCTCCCAGACATGGCATTGTTTTCAGAGTTACTTGATGATAAACAAAACAAGTCAACGGGGCAACGCATGACTTATCTGGTGTATCCTCAAGTTTCTGGTTCTTTTCTTCAAACTGGATTTTGATGTGCCTTGCAAAGCCGGTTGGAAATAACACTGCCCAGCAGAATACCACCCTATCACAACACATGAGACATGGCAGGAACAACCACAGACATTACTGTTGCGTCAACGCTGTGCCAATAGTTTGCTACTCTTACCATGAGAGTCTGAAAACATGAGACACAGCTTTATACTCTCCTGGTGGCTTCACAGTTGTGTAATTCTGCTAACTTCGAAGAAGGTGCTCCTGATTTAAACCATTGCAAGACAAAATGGAGCTTTTGTTTCCATTCATTTACATGACAGGTTTTAGAAAAAGGTATTACAAGTAAGGAGGGGCATGACCTATTTGTGTGCTTGGAGCTGTGTCTGATAGCACATATATGGGTCATAAATGCAGACAGAGAACAGAACTACCAGCTCCATTTTTGAAGTCAGTATGGAAACAAAACTTTAGCTAAGTACACTGACTGCTGCTTCCAGTTCATTACTCTGTACTGTGAATTTATTTTTTTGATATTCACAAAACAGTGCGAATTAAAAATAGGTTGGAAAAATGGTAGATTCTGAAGATTACGACACTCACTATTAAAAAGCAGACAGGACCTAACAAAAATCCTATTGTGTTTTTTAAGGCTACATGCAAGTTTTTTCCAAAAAAATCCCGTACAGTTTTCCAAACTCTTACAGAACCAAGTCCCTAATTCCTAGCTGACCTATAGTATCTCTTTTAGAAGAGAATCCAGATCTGCAGACAAAAGTGCAGGTATCTATCTATGTGTAAGGCAAGCATCTATCTGCAAAGCATTTGTCTTAAATTCTCATTGCAGCCAGTGGAGATCTAGTCAGTACAACAAACTGAGTCCCTAGAGTGATTCTGTTCTCCCCAGAGCAGACACAGTTTGGTCAGTGGAATCCCTTTAAAACCATGGACTGCAGAGTATTAACTCTCCCCTGACTGTGATGGGAATCACAGTTAAGGGATCCCATCTAGGAATCCCATCCCAGGAATCCCATCTAGGCACCTGTGTGGAAACATCTGCACCCAGCTCTCTGAATCTGGAGCTGAATCCTACCTGTAACCCTTATGCAAAGATCTTATGAAACTGAGGCTCCTCAAATACTCTGCTTAGCTGTCTAATCACTGTCACAGTTAAAATCTGTACCTTTTTATTTCTAGTATAAACTAGTCTAGTTAATCACCCTCCAGCCCTTCGGTTGTTCAATGTCTTTGAATGCCAGATTAGAAGACTCTTCCAGTACCTCGTTTTGAGAGGAGAAAGACTGCTAAGAAACAAAATTTAAATGTGTCTTGCAGGCACAACCCCACAGAGCTACACAGTCTTTTGGCAGCATCTGTGAAAAATTTAGAGGCACACTGAAATTGGCCAAGCACAATGCCTGTCATTCTTCCAAGCGCGTTTCAGGCTCCTTCTCCGTTACATCTCCTGTGAATTGACAATGGCCAGCCAAAACTCAGCCATTTAAAAATACTTTAATATTTTAATGGGGGAAAATATTATCATTTATTTTCCAAACCACTGCATCTGCAACGGGCAAAAATCCCTAAAAACAATTATTCAGCTTTTATTTTTTCAGATTTTTTCATTCCTACCCCTTTAGACTTGCATTTCTAAAACACTATTAGCTGTTTGGAACAAGTGTTTCCAGTTGATACCTCTATTTTTCTGCCTCTTTGTAATCAACACACGTGAGCAAAAGGAAGCCTTCAGCCTCATGTCCCACTATGGCTGCATACCACAGCTGATGCAGGTACCACAGATCCAAGAGTTCCCAGTTCAGAAGACCCTCACAACTGCAACTCATACTGCTCCATTATATCAAGACAGGTCTCAACACACCACATTAACCTTGGAATTCACTCTTCAAAATAGGTTGTTGTAACGCAGTTTATAAACATGAAAGCTTGACTAAGTTCAGTGCTTTGGTAGCCCTAGTGTGAACAAGTGATTAATCAAACTTGATCACAGTAAGAGATTGAACCACAGGTGTAAAAATGACAATAAATATCCATACAGGTGATTTTCTCTCCATTTGAACTGATCTGCTCCCAGAACATATTTAGAATATTTATGCAGCTTTATATCTTTAACACTACTAAGTGGAAAGGTCTTAGAAGAGTTAATTAAATTCTGATCTTTTGTGTTAGTGATGAACAAACACCCCTTCCCCTTCTACACAGATATCAGTTTGACTTCCAAATTGATTTGAATTTTTAAAGGACTGTCAGATGACACAGTCACATGACATGTGAAACTGATCTCCTTAGGCAAAGCTGTCAGAAGCCTGACACAAGCCTGATTGTGATTTCAAGGTTTTTTAAGGTTCCTTAACAGGGATGAGCCAAAGTTAGCATTCAAAAAAAAAAAAAAGAAAAGAAAATGAACGACCAAGCATAGCGTACAACCTTCTGCTAAATCCTATTTCTCATCCCTCTTGCTTCTCAGACTATTCAGACCTTGGGAAACTGTTGGGAAAGAAACGTCTCGCATCAAAGCACCAAAAGATGTCAGCAAGGTGGCAATAGATGATAAAAGGGAAAAGGTTTTGTTTTGCTGCTTAGGACAAGCGATATGGAGCCTCAAGCCTAGCGAATAGGAAGCCCAGTACTAAAATAATAATAAAAATGGAGATGGCTGAGCTGGTTCTACTCCCTCAGGTAACATGAGTGAACATGTAACTACAATATACAAACCAAAAATGCTTACTATGAACGCATGTAAGGAAATCTGGACTCCTTGTATACGGTGACCCATATTTCTGAATACAAGCTGAAGAACAGAAAATGAAATTGTCATTATTATAATGATGACATGGCAGCTGTTCAAAGCATGTAAATGATACCTATCCTGCTGGTACATTAAGCAAGTATTTAGAGGGTGGATGCAAAATTTATGCAATATTATAATCTCCCAGATGCCTTCAAATTCTTCAGTTCATTAAAATTTTTTAGCTCTGATGTACACTAGAGTTATATGGCTATCTGAAGAGGATGATCACTTAACCAGATGCTACTATGATTCTAAAAGCATGTTAGTAGCTACTGAAATTTAACCTACTAAATCTCTTTAAAAAAAATCTTAAAAGCACATGGAATTTTCTCAAACTGTTGGCATCTGCAATCTTAAGTACTACATATTAAACACAAATAGAGAACAATATGATGCCATGGCTACTATACAGTCAATAGGATAAGCCAGTGGTTCAATCAGTAAAGACACTTTTTTTTTTTTTAATAAGGAGACTAGTTAATAGCTAAGTTAATTAAAAAGGGGAAAGGGTAGAAGACTTCAAATTATTTACTAATGATGCAAGCTACAGATATAAATGCAACATCAATATTTTAACATGCAGAAAACACATAAAGGATGTCTGTATGCAAATCTATACACAAGTAAAAGACATGCCTTAAAATCACATAAGGAATGTACAGTCTATCTTAAAATTTAAAAATGCATGTTTACTGCAATCAGACTTTCATCACTTTCCTCAGCAGAGACTTCAGCTGTGACAAGCTCCAGTGTCAGGCACCACACACCAGCACTGCCACAAAGTGAAAGAAAAAGCTGCAACTCACCCAAGTATTTCGGGTAAAAATACTCCTGTAGGAGGGAAAAAAAAAAGCAAAGATTTATTGAACAGTATTTGCTTCTATTGTCAAACTGTTTAAGAGCTGCTGTTTGATGGTCTTGCATGGCAGTTGTTTAACAAGGTCCAAACACCAACATCAGTTTTAAACTGAAAGAGGGGAGATTTAGATTAGGTATTAGGAAGAAATTCTTTCCTGTGAAGGTGGTGAGACACTGGAACAGGTTGCCCAGAGAAGTTGTGGATGCCCCATCCCTGGAGGTGTTCAAGACCAGGCTGGATGGGGCTCTGAGCAACCTGGTCTGGTGGGAGGTGTCCCTGCCCATGGCAGGGGGGTTGGAACTCAATCACCTTCCAACTCTAACCATTCTATGATTCTACGATCCTCACTTCTTTTCATTCAGAGCCGGAAGCAGCACAGTATCGTATGTGCATTTTGTGTTTTGAAAAGGAAAGAAAGGTTAGCTCCAGTCTCAAGGTGTTTTTTGCTGACAGCTGACCTGGTAAGTGGCAGTGGCTGAGTGTGAAGCCACTTACCCACTACCCAAGAGGTAAAGGTGCTGATGGTGGCATGAGGTAGGGGAAGGAAGAGAAAATCTAGGGACAAAACCCCAAAGGGAAAGTATAGAAACATTTAGTCACTCAGTGCCTCCTCAGAGGCTCTCTGATGATGCAGGACACGGGCAGCATCCTAACACCATGACCACTAAAATAAAAGGATACCACCCGACAACTTACCAGCACCCATTGGCATATCACCCACTCCATCACATCAGGGAGACTGCCAACGCAAAGAAAGGAATGAGGAAAGTTTACAAGCAAGGGGTCAAGTCATTGACCTAAAAGGCATTCCCACTCTTCTCATGGTACACAACCACGTGTTACTATTCCCTACCATGTATCAACAAAGTGTAGGCACACAGCAAGAGTAGCAGTCTGCTGATGTGATGCATGTCAGAAAAATAATCAGCCTGAGGAGGCCTTGCCAGTCACATAATTGCTTGCAGCAACACAGAGAAACAGCAGGAAAATACAGATTGGCCTAAGCTGATCATTAAGCCACATTCTTTAAAAAATGCAAAAATTCATGGCCAGGAAAAAGCACTTTTTCCAACTTCACTTCATACTGGATTTCATAACGTGTAAGTCACTAGCTCAAGTGCTGTCAAAATTGTAACTGGGGTGTGCAATGAGGGAAAACTTGCGGATTGTATCAGTGCTTAATTTTTTTGTTAAAATAAATTATTTTAACAATTTATTAAAATAAACCAGCTAATTATGAAAGCGTATGCATAGTCTAATTCTCTTTCATGCAACATAAGCAGTTTTCATATAACACATCTGCAGTGAGATGGGGACAGTAAATATCCTGTATTCTACAAAATTAAAATTTGGTCCATCTTGGTGCAAGATTAGAAACTATTCTATTTTCTCCTCTTACTACGCATGTGGAATAAGCTCATGCATATACAGACATGTACATACAACAGAGACAGGCACACACCATGATTCAATTTGACTTGGACTGCCTAATACAATCAATTGGTTGACAAGGTCATATAAACTAAAAGTTTTGCATGGTTGTCATCCTGCAGAAAAATCAATCACTTCTCGCAAATATGCTCTACTTACTGAAATGCACTGTGGAAATATTCAACCTAAATCATGAAAGCGTCAATAAAGAGGAAGAAGTAGCTTAAACTTACTCTGATTTTCAATTCTGAGCTGAGGGTAATAGGCTTGGCATCTTTTGGGGTTGAGCTTTGTAATATCTTTTGGGGTTAACAAAGTAAGTGAGGAGCTCAGCAGCTCAGAACTCACTACAGTCCCTTCTCCCTCTTCTTTTTTTTTTTTTAAGGTCTAGTTTTGGAAAAAATAAGTCAAAAAATACAGTCAAAATAAAACTAAATATAAACAGTCTAAGTATTCAGATGAGTGTCCAGCTGTGCTACAACCACAAACTGAACTTCTGCCAGCACTCGAGAAAAAGATAGCAGCATGTGATGAAATATTCCAAACATCTTTTTCATTATTTCCCCTTTATTCAATATCCGCCACAAGAATGTGCAGATGTGTTTAACCACCAACAGGATAATTCAGACACTGGCAAGAACAACTTCTTCTGCACTCACAGGACAAGAAATAGCAACTTTCATATTCATGGCCACCAGCCTAGTTGCTCCAATCAGTGATGGCAAAGGCATAAAACCTCATTTTCTCCTTGACCTCTGATGAATGAGTTGCATGCTAGAAAAGTTGTCTAGGGTTTACTTTTGAATGAAAGATTAAGGCAACTAGCTATTTTCATCACACAAATAACCATCACAATGCAAACTGACTGTATATTGATTCAATGCCCGTTGAAAAGCAGAGGAGTGAAACTCCAAGGCACTGCACCACCACAAGCTTCATTTCATGAGATACACAACAGAGGTAAGTGATTTTAACAGGAGGCTATCATAGAAATGTAACTCTTCTTTACCTATATTCCTCATGTACTTACATTATACAAAACTCCTTGCTGATCAGTATCACTTCTCCAGGTCTAGAGGACCTACTGATGATACCATTTCAAAATAAAGCAACATGATTTCAGGTTCGAACATTACTCATGCTTGTATGATTAACTTTTAATTTTTCTCTGTAATCAATTTTCCTTACAACTGGCTTCTAGAAATACAATGACAATGTATTTCCATTCTGCCAAAAGATTAATCAAGAATGAAGGACAAATGATCTTCCACTTTGAGAAAAGGAACTTGCTTTAACTGAAAGTAGGAGTTCCTTTTCAGAAAAGACTGATGGGAGGTTTTTCCACTTAAACATGCAAGTTGTGGCTAAGCTACACAGAAAGATAGCCAGGCATGCATTATTTCTTGTGTGTGAGAGCTCAACTCTCCACAACACCTTTTCAGTCTTCTGTGCATCACTAAGTCTTAATGACCCAAAGATGTCAGAAAAGATCAAAACCCCAGACAAAGTAAAGTTCCTGTTAAAAATCTGAGACTCATCTTCCCTTCACCAGAAGTCTTCAATTGTATTTTCAAGATCCAACAAAAATGCCAAGGGAAGTGCTTTGAGACTTGCTAACAAGGAGTTAGCAAAGATTCTCTGTTACTACTTTGCTGATTTCTCATTCACTTTCACCATACCTTCAATTTCAGGCTCACCAAACACCTCACCATCCACAAAGCCACCTGGTATTCACAGGATCAAAATGCAGGGGATTATTTAACCATGACCACTGTGGTAGCAAAACTCATCACAGAATTATAGTAAGTGTTAAATTTTCAGCTTGGACTCCAGTAAAGGAAGTCAACATTAGAATGTTGTCAGCCTTTCCCCTTTGTATTTGCTTTCCTAATTACTGCTGAAAATAAAAGCAGGCTTTTCTAAATAAAAAGCTAGAAACAAATGCATATTGCACATAAACATCCTTTGGATAATCTGTTATACAGACACTGACTTCACCAAGCTTTCTAATCCATCTGTCTAGTAGTCATGTCCCAGAGTATGCAAAAGGAAGACAATACCTTGCAGAAATATCAATCTCCACAAGAGACCAACCTTCACAAATGTAGTTGCAACAATTCCAATCTCTGTGCCTGCTCCTACCAAGAAAATCTTAATGTATTTCCACCCCTGTTTCTTTTGACCCAACATGCTTTCTGTCTGTCTGGTTCCCACCAATCAGCCAGTACAACTGGGACACCAGAAGCTTCAATCATCAAGGGCCTGGCATCAGGACACCCACAGCCTGCAGACCTGCATGGAGCATGAGTTACACACCATGTGCCATGTGCCACCAGAAGTACAGCTCAGCAGAGATCTCAGGTAAAGAAGGAGAAATAGACTGAGAAGTGCTTCACATCTACAAGTCTCTGACCTTTCAGTGAAGTGGAAAGTATGGCATGAGGCCAGTCCCTCCAGCTCAGTTCCAGAGACCTTTCCCTTGCTGTCCAGGAGACAGAGCTGTGCTTTAACAGAAAAGATTTAAGCTCTACAGTGCCTACCTCTTCCACATGAACGCATGTGCATGCTAGGAACAAGTCTTTTGATGCATTGAACACAACCATTGGTGTCCACAACAGTAGTGCAAGACCTAAGTAGTGCAAGAATGCTTTTATTTCAGGGTACAGTAACACCAAACACTTTTTCATTGGGCTAAGAAGTTCTTCTCCCACCTACATCCAGAGCTTATTCCTACCCTATAACACAGCCACTATAACACTCACTGTGGATTATCTAACAAGAAAAGAGAGCGTAAATTTTAGTGTCCTCAAAAAACCCAACCCAAACAACCTCCTGAAAACCCCCTCCAGGTTGTTCTTTTTTATATTTGTTTTTTCTTCCAAATGTTAATGGTTGCAGTGAAATAGTTAAGAACAGTTTCTGTGGAGTCGTCCCTGCAATACCCTGCATTGAAACAACTAAGGAGAAGGTAAGAATTCATAGCAGGGTTGTGGAGTCAAAGGGGAGAAGTACCTACGTCAGCTTCCCTGCCAAAGGAAACTTACAATGTGAGCAGGGTCACCATCTATTTTCAACTCTATGGCCAAACTGTCCCTTAATGGTAAAATCCAGAAGTTAGTGAAATTACACTGGGTATGCATCAGTCCCGCTGCATTTTTAGAGAAGATGGAAGAACACCAAATCAGAACAGGCGTTAACGTGAGTCACTGTATAAAAATAGCCCTCGTGAAATCATAACAATGACCCTGTCTACACCAGGAAAATGTTCTCACTGTTGCTTGAAGTTAATTTGCAACACTGGAAACCTCAGCCAAAAGGGCCTGCCAAGTGCTTCTGTTTGTTTTGCTTGAGTACTAGGTCAGGTAAAACTGATCAGCACTGAGTCTAACCAAAATCAGGTTTGAGCTGTAGTGGCAGCAGGTAAATGTAGTTTACCTGACAGGTTTAGTAGTTTATCCTCTTTACAGAAAGACAGTTCGTGGTCCTGTGCAACTGGCCATCGGTGGCCATGCTTGAGCAGGGGCTTGAGCAGGGAGGTTGG